TAAATCTGTGTTTGCAAGAGTTTAGATGTTCAAGTATGCAAATTAAAAGTGGTTTGTTTGGTTTTTTCCCAAGGCTGTATAGCAATCATAAAGGCCCTGCAGCCTTGACTTTGGGACAGAAGCAGCAGTTTTGTAAAGTCTTTCCCTGCATTGCAATTACAGCAAGAACTGGCAAATAAGAAAACCACAGTGAGATACTACCTCAAACCTGTTAGATTAGCCATTATCAAAAAGACAAAAGATATCCGATGTTGGCCAGGATGTGGAGAAAGGGGACCTTCATGCACTACTGGCGCAAACGTAAACTGATGCAGCCACAATGGAAAATAGTAAGGAGGTTCCTCAGAAAGTTAAAACAGAACCACCATATGATCCAGCAGTGTATATATCTAAACGAAATTAAATCACTCTCTCAAAAAGACATTTGCACCCCTATGTCCATTGCAGCATTAGTCACAATAACCAAGATATAAAACCGACCTAAGTGTCTATCAACAGGTGAGTCAAAAAAGAAAATGTGGGGTATGTACACAATGAATTATTTGACCATAAAAAAGAAGGAAATCCTGCCATTTTTGAGAACATGGGTGAATCTTGAGGGCATTATGCTAAGTGAAACAAGTCAAACAAAGAAAGACACTGTATGTTCTCACTCACATGTGGAATCTTAATAAACAAAACTTATAAGAACAAAAAGGAGATTGGTGGCTGCCACGAATGACTGGGGGAAATGGGTGAAGGTGGTCAAAGGGTACAAACTTTTGGTAATAAGATAAATAAGTCATGGGGATATAGTGTGCAGCCTGGTGACCACAGTTAATAATATTGTATTGTATACTTGAAGGCTGCTAAGAGTAGATTTTAAAAGTACAGCCACGAAAAAAGTTGTGACTATGAGATGATGGATATGCTAATCAACCTGATTGTGGTAATCATTTTTCAGTATATGCATATAAAATTACTACGTTGTACACCTTAAACTTACACCATCCTATATGTCAATTATGTCTCAATAAAGCTGTGGGGTGGAGGGGAAGAACTTTGATTAAGATCAGTACTTTCAGGGACATAGCCTTGAGCAGAAACTCCTCAGCAATCTACTGGCATTGATCCCAAGCCAAGTAACTCAGATGGTGAGGTCAAAATCACTTGGGAAACCCATATCAAACCAACTCCACTCCATGCTCACCCCTGCTCTCAAACCCTTAGAAAGCCCAGCCTCAGCATTCAAATGGAGAAGGAAATGGCAACCCACTCCAGTATTCTTGCCTGGAAAATGCCAGGGATGGAGGAGCCTGGCGGGCTGCAGTCCATAGGGTCACAAAAAGTTGGACACGACGGAGCAACTTCACTTTTCACTTTCAGGTTTCCACCCTGCATTTCTTTGATGTCCCATGGTGCGAATCATGAGCGTGGGTGTTACGGGTCAGAGGGCATGCTTCCCTCTGTCTCTCACTATCTGTGTGCCTGTATGCATTCCTTAACTTCTCTGAGCCTCTGCTTCTTCATCTCTAAAATGGGACTCTTGCTACCTCTCAGGGTTGTTGTGAGGACTTAATGATAAATACAAACCACTCAGAACAAAGTTGGCACTTGCTAAAGAGTTGTTGACTCCCTTGTGACAGCTAACATTGTCATTATTTGGGGACAGTCTCGGGAGGCTGGCCATGATGAGTAGATCAGGATGTGTGACTTGCCTGGTGATCAAAGAAACATAAGGGTTTTTCTAGGTTGCAAATGACCTGTCAAAATAACCCGGATTTCCAAGTGCTAGTGGAACTATGACCTGGTATGAACTTTGGGAAAGTAATGAGTTGCAATACAGCATATGACTTAAGAATCGACCTGAAGCTTGTAATGGTGCAGAAGGAAGGAAGCTTGGGAAAGGCTCAGCCTGCCTAGGATTAAGGGAAACTGACCCTTCTGGTCGTCCTACTCCTGAGAATCTGTCCCAAGGGATTGTACACCACTGCAGCCATGAAATTAAAAGATGCTTGCTTCCTGGAAGAAAATCTATGATGAACCTAAACAGTATATTAAAAAGCAGAGATGTCACTTTGCTGACAAAGGTCTGTCTGGTCAAAGCTAATGGTTTTTCCAGTAGTCAAGTACAGAAAGTGAAAGTTGGAACATAAAGAAGGCTGAGTGCCAAAGAATTGATACTTTCAAACTATGGTGCTGGAGAAGATTCTTGAGACTCTCTTGAACAGCAAGGAGGTGAAACCAGTCAATCCTAAAGGAAATCAACCCTGAATATTCATTGGAAAGACTGATGCTGAAGCTGAAACTCCAATACTTTGGCCACCTGATACAAAGAACTGACTCTGATGCTGGGAAAGATTGAGGGCAGAAGGGGGCAACAAAAGATGAGCTGGTTGAATGGCATCACCGATTCAACAGACATGAGTTCGAGCAAACTCCAGAAAATAGTGAAGGACAGGAAAGCCTGGCATGCTGCAGTCCATGGGGTCACAATGAGTCAGAATGCAACTTAGCAACTGAACAATACAACACAATATAGAGAAAAAATGGAGGTAAAAAGAAAGAACTAAAAGAAAACATCTCAAAGCATTCCCAGTAGACAGTACACTTACGGATGATCTTCTTCAATTTCTTTATCATTTTCTCTACTTTTCATAATTTCTGCAGTGGGCATGCAGCATCCTGATGACTGGGGAGGATAAAGTAATATTTAAAGATGAAAATGAAAGCTTGTAAGACATTCATTTCATTGAGCAGTAGCCACACTTTGTCACTGGAAGTCCTCTGAACAAATGCAAGCCCCTCACCCTTGGATCTTGACACTCCACCCTCCTGTACTTCCTTTTTCACCTGGGGGAGAGCTGTGTTCCTCATGCCATCCAGGAATCATGTAACGACGTCTCATGTCCCAGGGCAAGGAGGTCTCAGGCTGTGCACCGGAGCATCAGCAAGCTGAGACCAAACACTTTCAGAGAACTCTGAGTCCACTGCTCTGATCAAGAAGAGCCTCTCAGAAGAGGGAGTGTTGAGAGCTGCTTGGAAGGAGGGGAAATTGTGGGGAAATCAGACAGGCGAAAATTTAAAATTTTAAGAAGGAGTGAATTAACCAAAGCATCCTCCTTTTGCTTTTTTAAAATGGGCGGAGGTTGCTGGTGAATAAAAACTTGACAGCTGGATTTCCCTGTTGGTCTAGTGGTTAAGAATCTGCCTTGCAATGCAGAGGACAGCAGTTCAATTCCCGATCTGGGAAGATCCCACGTGCTGTGGGGCAACTAAGCCCATGAACTATAACTACCGAAGCCCACACAGCTTAGAGCGCATGCTCCGTAATGAGAAGCCACCGCAATTTAAGGGAAAAAAAAAAAAAAAAAAAACCTTGTGCTGCAGTTAGAGAGTAGCCCCTGCTCACTGCAAACAGAGAAAGTCTGTGCACAGAAATGAAGACACAGCACAGCCAAAAATAAATAAATAAACTTGATGGTTAATCAGAGGAGACTGCCAGCAGAAGACCCACCCGAATGTGGGGGCGGGGGGGGGCGCGGTGAGTGATACTAGGGGAAAGGGGGCCACTGAGTTAAGTGAAATCTGCAACTTAGAACTGGTGACAATTTTCTACACACCCTCTATCTCCTCTTTCGGTTTTACTCCTCTACTTTAACTCCCTTGCTTGTCTCCCTCTGATTGTTTTAATCCCCCCAGAGTCCCATCTCCAGGAGATAAGTGAGAAGGACCACGCATTCTCCTCCCAAGGTTGCTATTGGTAACTGAAACCAAGCTTAGCCCAGTGAAAGGAATTGGGTTTTTTTTTCAGGTTTGGTCACCAGGGGAGGACTTCAGCATTCATGCCCTTCAAAGCTCTCCTGGGAGATGAGGACAGTGTCCACAGCAGACAGAGCTGGGCTCTCTCACCCTCACTGTGGGGCTCCAGGTCTCACCCACTTGCACCCTCAGCTCTATGATGGAAATGAGGATGACGATGGCCCTAGCACCTCCCCTCCAGTGTCCACTCCTCTGTTCCTAAATTCTCCTGCCTTGACTTTTGTTCCCATAACTCACCCTCTGGTAAGTGCCCATAAGGAGAGGAGGCCCCTCCTTACTGATTCATGGAAACAAAAAGGTTCTTCAAGGGCATCTAATTCATGATCATGGATTTATAGAGGGGAAAAGGGAGTCACAGAGAATCAAAGCTATAACAAATGACGACACTGTTCTTTGAGACTCAGATCCTTCCCAGGAAACATGCCACCCCACCTCATTTTTCCAAGGAAGGGACAGGAGGTGACTAAGCAGAGCCCCGCAGTTCCTGATGCCTCTAGCCTCTCCCTACATGGTCCTAGCACCTCTCTTCCCCTTCCACCCCATTCCTACCCTACATGACTGAATGATTTAGTACAATTGCATTTGTTTCCTCGTTTCTAGTCACATCCTATTTATCTTGATGGTCAATAAAAGTGACCAGAAGACTCCTAATGACCTGGAACATCAAGTTCATGCCTTTCCCAAATTAGAATCAACTTGCTCTAAATCTAACCAAGTCAGGATGAAGCATTAGCAGATGGTGCATCCACTTGGCCATTTCCCCCAGTCTCTTAAGACAGTGAATCACTCTCAGGGGATGGCTTAGCCAAGATGAGTCAGCACCTTCTGTTTGTGTATATCGTCATTACATTCTTTTCATTAAAAAAAAAAGCCCTTGTGTGTAAGTGGACTACAATTGCAATTTGAAAAGCACTGACAAAAATTCCTCATCTTCAAATGACATAACCAGTCTTATATAGTATCTGAAAACCCACAATTCAAGACACTTCCCAGAGCAATGACTCTTTATAGAACGCTGGATGATGCCAGAATAGCATTTTGCTACTTGATAGTCAACACATCTCAATGGTTAAGAATCCAGTTTCTGAACTGAGTCTCACTTCTGGTAGGATGTAAGGTCTCACTGTACCAACTTTACTAAAGATTACAACTATAAACTCTGAACCAAAAATATACATAATACATTTAAAAAAACATACCTGAAGGTCTTGGAGAATATGCAAAAGCAGGCAGATTCTAAATGGAAAGTGATACTTGGAAGAAGGAAATCATATGAGATGAGTCTCCTGATTTTATGGCTTAGCCTGAAAGCAAGCTGCCATCAGTATCCTGACAGGTGTCTTAAACTGACAGAAAATCCACAGTCTTTCTGATCTGAAGGATCAGGGAACAGAATTTGTGGCAACCATAGCCGCTGAAGAGTGAGGGAGAATCCTGCAAAGGAGAGAGACAAAGGGAAGAAGTTTCAACTTTCATGTGTAAACTCTGCCAAATTTTCTGCTTGATCACTAATTACCCACATATAGGACAGATTTCAAATATCCCAACTAGGGACAAGACAACTGGACTGAGATGTTCCCCCAAAATACAGAGTTTACAGTTTGAGTCCAACAAAATTAGCTATTTTCTATAGCAAAAATTTAAGACTCTTTGGTAATAAACAAATCCAGTTTCCACAACATAACGATCACCAAATCTGGGGCACAACTGAAAATTTCTTGACAATGAAGAAACAGGAAAACATAATCCATTATAAAGAGAGAAAAGACAATAAACAAAAACCAATCTCAAAACAAGTGTTGAAATTATTAATTATTTTAAAGAAGCAATTTCACTATGCTACATGATGAAAATATGTAAGTCTCAGCAGATAAATAACTATCTTAAATAAGAATCAATGGTTACCATCCTATCAAATAAATCAAATACTGAGAAATAAAACTACCTAAGAAGACAAAAGACCTACACTCTGAAAACCATAAGATGCTGATGAAAGAAATTGAAGATGACAAAAACAGATGGAAAAATATACCATGTTCTTGGATTGGAAAAATCAATATTGTCAAAATAACTATACTACTCAAGGCAATCTACAGACTCCATGTAATCCCTGTGAAATTACCAAAGGTGCTTTTTGCAGATCTAGAAAAGAATCTTAAAATCTGTATGGTAACACAAATGACTCTGAATAGTCAAAGCAACTTAAGAAAGAAAAACACAGCTGGAGGAATCAGGTTTCCTGACTTCAGACTATACCATAACATGATCGTAATCAAAACAGTGTGGTACTGGCACAAAGACAGATGTATAGATCAACAGAACAGGATTGAAATCACAGAAATAAACCCACACAGCTGCAGTCATTTAATCTATGACAGAGGAAGCAAGAAAATATAATGGAGAAAAGAGAGTCACTTCAATAAGTGGTGCTGGAAAAACTGAACAATTTACATCTAAAAGAATGAAATTAGAGCATTCTTTAACACCATACACAAAAATGAACTAAAAATGAATTAAAGACCTAAATGTAAGAGCAGATGCTATAAAACTCTTAGAGGAAAACATAGGTAGAACACTTTTTGACATAAAAGGCAGCAATATCTTTTTGGATCTACCTCCCAGAATAATGAAAATAAAAACAAAAATAAACAATTGGGACCTATTTAAACTTACAAGCTTTTGCACAGCAGTGGAAATCACAAACAAAATGAAAATACAACACACGAAATGGGAGAAAACTATTTGCAAATGATATGACCAACAAGCAATTAATTTCCAAAATATACATACACTCGTGGGGAAAAGATCTAAACAAACATTTCTCCAAAGAAGACATACAGATGGCCAAAATCACATAAAAAGATGCTCAACATCTCTAATTATTAAATAAATGCAAATTAAAAACTACAGTGAGGTATCATCTCACACCTGCCAGAATAGCCATCATGAAAAACACTACAGATAATAAGTGCAGGAGAGGGTATGGATAAAAGGGAACCCTCCTATACTGTTGCTGAAAATGTAGACTGGTACAGTCACTATGAAGAACACTATGAAGGTTCCTTTAGAAGACAAAAAATATAGCTATCATATGCCACTCCTGGGCATATATCCAGAGAAAATCATAATTTGAAAAGATACATACACTGCTTTGTTCATAGTGGCACTATTAACAAAAGCCAAGACATGGAGGTAACCTAAATGTTCATCAACAGATGTATGGATAAAGAAGATGTGGTATATTTATACAATGGAAAATTACTCAGCCATAAAAAGGAATGAATTTGAGTCAGCTGGATGAATCTAGAGCCTGTTATGCAGAGTGAAGTAAGTTAGAAAGAGAAAAACAAATATCACACATTAATGCATATATGTGGAATCTAGAGAAATAGTACTGATGAACCCTTTTGCAGGTCAGGAATAGACATGTAGGCATAGTGAACAGATTTGTGGTCACAGCAAGTGAAGGAGAAGGTGGGACAAATTCATAGAGCAGCATTGAAACATATGTACTACTATATGTAAAATAGAAGCTAGTGGGAAGTATGCTGTGTAACAGGTAGCTCAGCCTAGCGCTCTGTGACGATCTAGAGGGGTAGGATGGGGGGTTGGTGGGAGGGAGGTTCAAGAGGGAGGAGATAAATTATACTTATGGCTGATTCATGATGTTGAACAGCAGAAACCACCTCAACATAGTTAAGCAATTATCTTCCAATTAAAAAAAAATATATATATATTTAAAAGTCACCCATATTTCCTTCTAATATCTTTACTATTTCATTTTTAGCCTTTAAGTAATTGTACTAAGAGGGATATAGATTAAAGAATTAAGAGGGATGTCCCTGGTGATCTAGTGGCTAAAGTCTTCATGCTCCCAATGCAGGGGAGGTTCAATTTCTGGTCAGGGAATTAGATCCCACAAGTTGTAACTTAGAGTTCACATGCTCCAACTAAAGATCCTGAATGCTGCAATGAAGACTGAAGATCTCATGGGCACAATTAAGACCCAGAGCAGCCAAATAAATAATCTTTTTTTTTTTTAAGAATTAAGGACAATAATTGAAATAGAAGGTAAAAAAGTAGAAATAATGAAACTAAGAGTTGATTATTTGAAAAATAAACAAAATTGATAAACTTTTAGCCAGATTTATCAAGATAAAAAGAGGGCTCAGATCAATAAAATCAGAAATTTAAAAAGAGAAATTACAACTGACACCATAGAAACACAAAGGATCATAAGCAACTACTACAGACAACTATATGCCAGTAAAATGGGCAACCTATAAAAAACAAATTCTAGGGAAAATTCCTAGAAATGTCTGATCTCCCAAGACTGAATGAGGCAGAAATAGAAAATATGAACAGACCAATTACCAGTAATGAAATTGAATCAGTAATTTTTTTAAAAACTCCTAATAAACAAAAGTCCCCGAGCTTTCCTGGTAGCTCAGCTGGTAAAGAACCTACCTGCAACATGGGAGACCTGGATTTAATACCTAGGTTGGGAAGATCTCCTACAGAAGGAAAATGGGTTACCCACCCCAGTATTCTGGCCTGAAAAATTGCATGAACTGTATAGTCCATGGGGTCACAAAGAGTCAGAAACAACTGAGCAACTTTCGCTTTGAACTTGGAAACAAAAGTACAGGACCAGGTGACTTCACAGATGAATTCTACAAAACATTTAGAGAGGAGTTGACACCTACCCTACTGAAACTATTTCAAAAAATGCAGAGGAAGGAACACTTTTGAATTCACTCTACAAAGTCAGAATCACCATGATATCAAAACCAGACAAAGATACCACAAAAAAGAAAATTGCAGGCCAATATCACCAATGAACATAGATGCAAAACTCCTCAAAAAAATATTAGCAAAGCAAATCCAACAATACAGTGAAAGGATCACATACCATGATCAAATGGGGTTTTATCCCAAGGACATAAGGATTTTTCATATCTGCAAATCAATCATTGTGTATGTAATATACCACATAAAAAACCTGAAGAATAAAAATCATATGATCATCTCAGTAGATGCAAAGTAAAAAGCTTTTGACAAAATTCAACATCCATTTATGACAAAAAAATTCTCCAGAAAGTGGGCATAGAGAAAACATACCTCAGCATAATGAAAGCCATATATGACAAACCCACAGCTAACATCATACTCAATGGTGAAAAGCTGAAAGCATTTCTTCTAAGATCAGGAACAAAACAAAGATTCCCACTCTGGCCACTTTTATTCATAGTAGTGTTAGAAGTCCTAGCCACAGCAATAAGGCAAGAAGTAGCAGAAGGGAAAAAAAAAAAAGAAACCCAAATTGGAAAGGAAATGGTAAAACTGTCACTGCTTGCAGGTGAAATGACACTATACATAGAAAATGCCATCAGAAAACTACTCCAGCTCACCAATGAATTTGGTAAAGTTACAGAATACAAAATTAATATACAAAAATCTGTTGCATTTCTATAGACTAACAATGAACTATCGGAAAGAGAAATTAAGGAACCAATCTCATTTACATTGCATCAAAAAGAATAAAATGCCTAAGAATAAATACCTAAGGACATAAAGGACCTGTACCCTGAAAACTATAAGGTGCTGATAAAAGGCATTGAAGATGACACTCAGATGGAAAGATATACCAAGTTCTTGGAGTGGAAGAATTAATACTGTTAAAATGACTACTCAATGCAATCTACAACCTTTATCAAAATACCAATGTCATTGTTCACAGAACTAGAACTAATGATTTTTAAAATTTGTATGAAAACACAAGAGATCTAGAATAGCCAAAATGATCTTGAGAAAGAAGAGAGCTGGAGATATCATACTCTCTGTTTTCAGACTATACTAAAAAGCTACAGTAATCAAAGCAGTATGGTATAGATACTTCCCTGGCATTCCAGTGGTTAAGACCCCATGCTTCAGCTGCAAGGGGCATGGGTTTGATTCCTGGTTGAGGAAATAAGATCCTGCATGTGGTATGGTGTGGCCAAAAAATAAATAAATAAAAACAATAGTATGGTACAGGAACAAAACCAGATGCATAGATCAAGGGAACAGAATAAAGAACCCAGAAATAAACCTACCCACTCATGGTCAATTAATCCATGACAAAAGGAAGCAAGAGTATCTAACAGAGAAAAGATAGTCTTTTCAATAAATGTTGCTTGGAAAACTAGAAAGCTATATCTAAAAGAATGAAATTAGAACATTTTCTAATGCCATACACAAAAATAAACTTATAATAGATTAAAGACTTAAATGTAAGATTGGAAACCATAAAACTCCTAGGAGAAAACATAGTCAGACCACCCTCTGACGTATATCATAGCATTATCTTTTGGACCTGTCGCCTAAGGCAAAGAAAGCAAAAGCAAAAACAAAGATATGAGACCTCCTTAAACTTGAAAGTTTTTCACAGCAAGGGAAACCACTGACAACATGAAAAGACAACCTACTGAATAAGATAAAATATTTGCAAATGATTTAACTGGTAGGGGGTTAATCCAAAATAAATGAACAGCTCATGCAATGCAACGTCCAAAACAAACAACTAAAAACAACCCTGAATGAGGTATGGTGTGGCAAAGAATAAAAATAAATAAATAAAAACAAAGTATGGTACAGGAACTAGGATTTAAAAATAGGTAGAAGGCTTAAATAGACTTTTTTTTTTCCAAATAAGACATATAGATGGGTAACAGGCACATCAAAAAGACACTCAACATTGCTAATCAACAGAAAAATGCGAATCAAAATCAAAATGAGATAACACCTTATATATGCCAGAATGGCTATCATCAAAAAGACCACAAATAGCAAATGTTGTCAAGGATATGGAGAAGAGGAAACCCTCGTACAGTGTTGTTGTTCAGTCGCTAAGTCGTGTCCAACTCTTTGTGACCCCCATGGACTACAGCATGCCAGTCTTCCCTGTCCTTCACTCTCTGCTGGAGCTTGCTCAACTCATGTCCATTGAGTCAGTGATATCATCCAACCAGCTCATGCTCTGTCGTCCACTTCTCCTCCTGCCCTCAATATTTTCCAACATCAGGGTCTTTTCCAGCAAGTTGGCTCTTCACATCAGGTGGTCAAAGTATTGGAGCTTCAGCATCAGTCTTTCCAATGAATATTCAGGGCTGATTTCCTTTAAGATTTACAGGTTTGATCTCCTTGCTGTGTAAGAAACTCTCAAGAGTCTTCTCCAACACCACAGTATAAAAGCATCTATTCTTCAGCGCTCAACCTTTTTTTTGGTTCAACTCTCACATCCATACATGAAAAACTGGAAAAACCATAGCTTTGGATAAACAGACTTTTGTAAGCAAAGATTTGTCTCTGCTTTTTAATACAATGTATGTTTGTCATAGCTTTTCTTCCAAGGAGCAAGAGTCTTTTAGNTGTGAGATGAGTGCAACTGTGCGGTAGTTTGGACATTCTTTGGCATTGCCTTTCTTTGGGATTGAAATGAAAACTGACCTTTTCCAGTCCTGTGGCTACTGCTGAGTTTTCCAAATTTGCTGGCATATTGAGTGCAGCACTTTAAAAACACCATCTATCTTTTAGGATTTTAAATAACTCAGCTGGAATTCTATCACTTCTACTAGCTTTGTTAGTAATAATGCTTCCTAAGGCCCACTTGACTTCACACTCCAGAATGTCTGGCTCTAGATGAATGACCACACTATTGTGGTTATCTGGGTCATTAAGACCTTTTATTGATACATTTTCTCTGTATTCTTGCAACCTCTTCTTAATCTCTTCTGTTTCTGTTAGGTTCTTACTGTTTCTGTCCTTTATTGTGCCCATCTTTGCATGAAATATTCCCTTGGTATCGCTAATTTTCTTGAAGAGATATCTAGTCTTTCTTATTCTATTGTTTCCCTCTATTTCTTTTCATTGTGCTCTTTCATATGTGGAATCTTAAAAATAAAGCAAAATAGTGAATGTAATTTTTCAAAAGACAGACTCACAAATATAAAGAACAAACCAATGGTAACCAGTGGGAAGAGGGAAGGGAGAAGAAGCAAGAGAGAGACAGGGAAATAACAAGTAAAAACTACTATTGTAAAATAAATGAGCTACAACACATGGAATATAGCCAATATTTTATAATAACTATAAATGGAATATAATATTGAAATTGTAAGATGCAAAGTCAATGTTTCAGTTTCATGTAATATTAAAATTGTAACATGTGAATCACTATGTTATACCCCAAAACATATAAAGATCAACTCAATTTAAAAGAAAAAAAAAAAACAGAATAGAAAGCCCAGAGATAAATCCACGAACCTATGGTCACCTTATCTTCGACAAAGGAGGCGAGGATATACAATAGAAAAAAGACAACCTCTTTAACAAGTGGTGCTGGGAAAACTGGTCAACCACCTGTAAAAGAATGAAACTAGAACACTTTCTAACACCATACACAAAAATAAACTCAAAATGGAT